CGGGGCTCCTAGTCCTGGATGTTTTAGAGTTAATTTTAAAAAATAAATATTAAACACTTTCATCAATATACCATGTGATAGAATTTAATTTACTGCTAATATTGATATATCAACAAGAATGCAAGAAACACAAAATACATAAACTAACTTGTTTCAAAGTGTTATCACAGAAGACATCAATTACAACTCTACCATCAATATGAACACTTTCATCATTCACAAATATTTACAAGGTAAATCACCCTACCACATGATGCATTTCATTCCCCTTTTATCAAAAAAACATCATCAACTTCATTGTTTAAGTGTTTTCGCAAAATATACAAAAGAAAACCCAATAGACATTATCAAATCCATTGTTTGCGAGATACACGTCAGCATTGAGTTTTTACAAAAGATAAACCCAAAAACACTTGTCAATATGAATTCATGGTTTCCACAAAGCTTTAATTGAGCCTTCTTCCTCTTGGGCTGTTGCAACTGTATGGCTGATTTCCTGAGTTGTGCTCTTGTATAGCATACATTTTTTCTGGCTGCTTTCCTAAGTTGTGCTCCTGTATAACATATATATATATTTTTTATCTACTGCTCTTAGAATGTTGAAACCTCTCCTATGTTGTACCCTTGGTGCTACTTTAGTATTTATCACATGGGATGATGTAGGATGTGTAGGAGTTGGTTGCAATGCTGTTGAGGAAGATGCTTGTGAGGGTATTGGTGCTGAGCCAATATTTACATACTTGTTTCCTCCTACAAGTAGAATAGAAGAAACTCTGTAGTTAGATAAGTGGCTTTCGTTGAAGTCCAATAACATAAAGGTTATTTATATATATTTGAATATAACTTACGGTGGTTTCTATGTAGCTCATATAAGATGAAGGTGGTTTCTATATAAGAAACATAAAACTCACATGAGTAGATCCATACGTGCTACTGCCTTCATTGTTATCACGTGCCTCCACCCTCATATTGATTCCTCTATTTCAAATCCATGCATCAACATTGTCAGCCTTCATTGCATACCCAAAATTCCAAAATTTCAAAATTAAGCATAAGTTCTAAATAGCAAAACAAGAATATGAATACTTGTTTACTCTTCCTATTAGCACCATTATATGGTCATGTAGTTGATCTTGCTCTGGTGCTAGTAGAAGCATTTTTGGGTCTTCCACCTTTACTTGGTAGATCTTGAGCAGCAGATGGTGAGTTCGTACAAGTTTTTTTATTGTGACCATATTTTCCATAATTTTTGCACTTGTTTTGCACTTTTTTCTTTTAACTCTCAGTGAAGCTGCAGCTTGTTCACCTGCTTCTCTCTTTCTTGTTCTTTTTGGTCTTCCAGGCATGATTCTAGTTGGAGGAGGACTTGGCTCTGGGTATGGAGTTCTTTGCCACTGTTTCATCCCAGGAATAGGGGTAACATTCTGACTGTAAGCAAGCATATAAGTATCTTTAATGTATGCCTCATGTACATATCCCTCTAGCGCAACCTTTTGCTTCACCGTAGCAAGAACAACATGATACATGGGAAGCCACATGGTTGCCATCTGATACAACCACAAGTCCATTTATCCAAGTTCACGACATAGATCTCCTCTTTATACTTCACTTTCAAATTTGTTGTCTCCACCAAATTCAATACTATATTGTCTTATCTCTTCTTTCAATACTTCAAGTCTTTGGTCTACCTTTGGAACCAATCTTCCTTGATGCTTTGCAATACCTTACTATTTCAAAACAAACCTCGTTATGAGCATCGTTCTAATAAACCTCAAGCATGTAAGTATTGGCTTGTCTCTTGCTTCTATTCCCACTGCGTACGCAATGGGGTTTACCATTCCCATCTACTCCCTCTGCAGAAAGGATTTGGCCAGTGTAAATCCCCTTCAAATGTCGGTCATCTATCACAATAATTGGTTTGCATCCTCTCCTGAAGCCTTCTTTACAAGCTAATAGACATACCTAAAACCTCTGAAACGAAGGTGTTCTTAGCCTGTTGATATTATCAACTCTCACCAAAGCCAAAGAACCAAGATTTGTTGTTATAATCTGGTTAGCGTGGTCCCATACTCTTTGGTGTTGTTTAGTCCCAATACTATAAATATTCAGCATTGCTCTCTTGCTTTGTAGACCAAAGGCTTACCAATTATAATTCCATAATCTCTATTTACTCTCTCAATGAAGCCTGACAACTTCCATTGAGGATCGCCTCACCAATCATCCTCGTATCTTTTAGCTAACCAATAAAAAGAGACCTTGCTATCATGATTTCCAACTCCCCCGAAATTTTCAAGATTTAGCTTTAGTGTTTTGATCTGAAAGGTGGCTTCATCTGGCAGTTTTATTGCATGAATCTTGAACCTGTATATATTCTCACAATTTTGTATGCCTCTCATTTGCTACCATGCTTGAAATCATCCACACATTTGCATCTATACCTGCAATAAATAGTTATCACCCTAGCTTCTTATCATAGTGTGGGTAGTAGAAATCAAAATCCTACTGAATTGCATACAATTTGAAATCATTTCTTAGAATTTCAATTCTTGCAAACATGAGACAATTCTTGAATTTGATTGGCACATTTAGACCAGTGTTAATTAGCATTAAACTGTGGGTATGGATAGAGATCTTCATCAGAATCATATAAGCTATCTAAGTCCTCTGTGTTAGCATCACTTTCCTCATCAACCTTGAAAAAAATATTCATCCTCTTCATCCACCTGAGCATTCTTTGATGGTTGTGTTGGAATAGGATCATTTGTATTAGCATCAACATATATATCATTGTCATGTCCATCATCATAATCTGAATCAGATATTTTAAATTCTGATACATCACTTGCATCCTTCTTAGCTTGTACACCTACGTCCACAAGACTATCATTAAAATCAGTTTGAGAATGTGGAGGAACATTAACATTGGGTTAAGAGTGGTTGAGGATCATTGACAAAAGAAGAGCATGTGGAGAATCATTCATGTTAGATTGAGGAGGTGGAGGATCATTAACATCAAATTGAGGTGTCGAGGACTCACTGACATTAGTTGAAGGAACTTGAGATTCATTGTCATGCTATCTCCTCGTCAAGAATACATTTATCAATTCCATGAATAGAATACACAACTACTTTTTGGTTTGGACCAAGAAAACTAATCATATCTAATATGTCTTGATCATTAACTATTCGTCTTGCCCCTTGTGCCAAATTAGCACCAGGAATCTTATAGCATACTTCTGCAATATTATCATGCTTCAAGTCATCTTAGAGAACTATTTTTAACTCCTAGAAAGATATCTTATACTGAACATAATCATACTTTCTAAAAATTGATCCTCCAATATATTTAAGCTGACCCCTATCCCTTGTGAAATGACCACGATGGTGATACTCAACTGTGAAAACAACATCCATCCTCTACAAATAAAGTTAGGCATATTATCATTCAAGAGAGGCGCATTAAAAAAATAACAACTGATCTTAGCTTCATAGTAAATAAAATCCTCAAAGACTGAAAAAATAGCGATAGAGAGGGCATAGGCGCACGCACACTAACACAAGTGTGAATGCTTTTCACTTATGCAGATGTCAAAATTTAATTCTATATGATTGAAGACCCTTAGAACTACCTCAACGGATAATTTATCTTCTTTAACCACCTGCAACAAATCAAGGGAACTTATAACGCACAAATCAAAGTGAATAATCATCCCGAAAGGTTGGGAAGTAATAGCACCAACTTCCAAGTCAATAATACATGTATTAGAAGAGCTAATATATTGACCTCACAATTCTCGCCACTGTATCTAACATGCAATATTTATATTTCTACATGAAGAATAAACATGATACAGCAGGGCCTATCCGAGCAATCGATGCGTCCATTATGTTTTTCCAAATATTTTTGTAATTTGAACAAATAACTATAATCAGTAAAGCATTGTACAAGGAGATTATCACTAGAAGAGCTAATGATCATGTTGAATAATCACAGTCAATGAAAATGATTCGACTATTTATAATCATGGCAGTTTTAAGCATGAAGCCATGAACTATGCTGTAATGTTTACAGTTAACCTAGAAGAAAAAAGAATGCTGAATAAGAGGCAGACAAGACCCAATTAATTATTGCAATGAATGCACACACTCTAATAATTATAACATAACTGGAACCACCATAACCAGTTTGATATTTTTTTTCTCTTTGCTGTTGAGTTTTTCTCTTTTTTTTTCTTTTCTATTTGTGATGACGTACCAAGAGAGAGCAATCATTAGTTCTAACTAAACTGTTGAATTTTTTATATTTTGATGAATGTTATTACATAAGATCCTCATAGAAAATATCCCACATAGTACTACAAACCAAGATTAAGGGTTGAAATTAGAGTACCTGCACTTCAGGGTACACAACTCGGCATGGACCCTCCTGCTGAGAGATTTAATAAAACCTCGCAGTGGTTTTCTGATCCTTTGATGTGAGAGAGAGAGAGAGAGAGAGAGAGAGAGAGGAAGAAATGCCCTTATAAAATTAGGACGAAAATTAATTAAGATGAAAGAGGGCAATTTAGGTAAAATAAAATTACAGTAGAAAATGACTTTTAAAAATATTACTTAACTTAGGATATAGGCATTTCGTCTGTCTTTTTACTCATGTTCATCGCGTCTTCATTTCTACCAATTCAAAAACCTATAACAAACCAAAATAACATATCAACATATGCTTCACATTCTTTCAATTAACGCATAGCAATACAGCAATTTACAAGTATATTAATATCTCCTAAAAGTCTGAACTTATATATTCCAATTCACTCGCATAGTTCAAATTTACATGATGCAATCAAAGTTAAAAGAAGAAAAAGAAGAATTTTAAAACTAATTTTGACCAAATAAAGAAAAATTGTTGCTATCAGATCTTCGTGAGGTTCGTTGCAGCTAGAGAAGGGTAGGGTTTCTTAACAGCTCTGCACCTATTTCACATAGGAGCACTAGAGCTCATCTGAACCATTCATTTTCTTAGAGATTATAATAGGAGATGTTATTTCCTCCTTACATATTCCTATAGAAAAAATAAAACAATAAAGACATTACAATATGAGCATACTCTCAGATTCATTACATTAAAGATGCAACAATGGGATAAAACCATAACAAGGTTAGCAATAGATTGCAAGTCTCTTACTTCCCCTTCTGAACCTAAATAAAATACAAAACTTCTAGTAATCATCAGAATCCGGATCTGCATCAACAATGTCCGGCAGCGAGTTGATAGATGTCGAATCAGAATCACAAGATGTTAAATCCCTATCCTTAAGGCTTATACCCAAGCTTTCCAAACTATTATTGCTCGTGCCTTGGTCTAGATTCAAGTCATTGCTTGAAACCACAATATTTTTTATTGGCTCCATCTTATAGCCCGAGGAACTGCCAGGAATTATGTTCTGTCGAGAGTCAAGGTCGTTGCCTTGAGATGAACTGCTTGCAAACTGCTCATCTTGTTTTCTGCTTTCAGACATGGAAACTAAAGCTGGCTCTTGATGAGCATCGATGTTAGCTTCCCTACCTGTGGATGCCATCTCTGCATCAGCAATTTGCATCTTCTCCTGTATGTCTCCCGCATTCTTTTCTGCTAAAGCCTCTGAGCCCCTCAAAATATCCTCTTGGTTTTCTGTCTGCTGAGTTGCATTATTACTACCTATGGCAGGTTCATCACCAAGCCAGCTATTGTATATGTTGTCATCGTCGTCATCATCATCAGCTAGGTTATTGAAATTACCTAGACCAAGGGAGGATATGTTCGGGTTTAGATGTTCGGGGTTAGCTCTCTCATCAAGTGCTGAGCTTTTGGCGACTGGAGCATCCACAAGTGGAAGGGCCCGTGGATGGATGAGGATCTCCAAAGCCAGAAGGGCATGTGCACAGAATGCAGCAAGCTTTGTTCCAGTTTCTTGCTTCCCTGGGGTAACAATTTCAAGCAATTACTTACAGAGAGTATACAGGAAACTTATATAAATACATACGTAATAATCAAATACACTTACAGGTTTTGTTAGTTTCACTGAAAGATATGGGAGAAAGGAAAAAATAAATTGATGACTTTTCAAATTCCTATTACACATCATGTACGTCTTTGCACAGTTAGTTCAGCTTGCACAACATAATTGCGGTTGTTTAACTGCCACCCATGTTTTTTACTCTGGACATAGTTTAGGAGGAAGTATCGGCCAGAGTGATCAAGACACTGAATTATACAGAGAAAACTACATACATGTGCATATCTATACACAGTAACACACACCGTTTGGCTAGTATAATAGTATTAGTGACACAATTTAGGTTTATGTATTGTGAATAAGCGGTTTGCCACTTTCAATGTCACTTTACAAAGTTCTTATACAAAATACAACATTATAAGACTAAAGACTTGAAATCAAGAGCTATGAATATTGACTGACAAGAATGGTTTACTCAAAAACTTTAATTGTCTCTCTACAAAAATATTTAACAGTCATTAATCAGCCGATCTATTAACGGACTAGTTCAATTCAACAAGTCTGGTAAATAAGCACTGTTCTTAATGAACTAGAATAAATAGTTCAATGTTTTAAACCAAAAAGAACCTTAAGCTTCCATCATACCATTATGGTATCAATTACCTTGATAGCTCCAAGATAAGATGAAATAGGTATAAACTAAATTTCAGAGTCCTCAATGTTCTTTTCATAACATGAATAAGCATTGTTCACGTATTTGCTTCAGAATTCCATCACCTATGCAGTCAGTTAAACACCACCATCTGGTAGTTTTGTTACAAACTGATTTTAAGTGGAGTGACAAACATAATAAAAGGGATGACATATCCACTGAACCCAAAAGAAACATATATAGTATTTGATGTAGTTATTCGGTCAAAATTTATGAATATATCAGTGTACGCTTCTGATGCAGACTAATCTGACGATTTGTGCAAACATAATACTGTAAGAACCAGAAGGGGATTGCACAACCATGTCAGGAATTGTGAAGATCACTACATTTAACAGGATAATATATTTAGCATAGATCTTAGATAACTCCAAACCCACATAGAAAATGACATAAAATAGTCACATAAAACTGAAACTACAAATGCAACCGTTGACAAACAATCAGCGGTGCGGTAAACAGAATTACTAATAATAATTTCCTTTTCCTATTTTCTCATTCTTAGAAACACTTGAAACATTTTTGGTATGGAAAAGCTCATGGAAATAAACTGGACCAGCAGAAGATTAAAGTTTGAACATCACTTTCAATTGAACAGACAGAAGGAAAAAGACCAAATGGTGGAAAGGTCACCAAAATTTGTATCCATTGTTCCACGAAAATGCATCAGGTGCTCATGGATTAGACACCCTACGAGGCTGAGATTCAACCAAGGAAGACATACCAGAAGAATCTGATATATGAAACCTTCTAAGCCTACAAAGGGCACAGGAAGACATCTTTGTGACTTACATATGTTTCTAAGATGCTTATCTGACAAATTAATAAATGAAAATTTAGACTCGACTGTATTCTGTAGGAAAAGCCAAACAAATAGATGGTGATATCACCAACGTGTGACAATCTGATTAGATGATGATATCTCACATGTTTTAGATTCCAAAAGATTCCAGGACATCTGAAGTGTTTGCATAATGATCATTTACAAAATCAGAGAAAATACAGGACTCAAACTTTTTTGTCTTAATACTGTTAGGAATCTTCGGATATGTGCTAAAAGATTATACCTCTGCGGAAAATTTCAAGGCCTTGTGATAAATATGGAGGCCGAACATGGGCTGAGGAAAGAAGAGATGCTAGCAATGCTTCTAGTCCGGCAAGCTGGAAATCTGCCCAAGAGACAAATGATTCATCTTTTAAACTGGGATACTTTCCTTCGCTGGCCCATCCATCACATGCATTTATTGCAACATTTATAATAAGTGAATCCACACTGGACCGCCAACTCTCTGATTTCAAAGAACCGCCCTGTAAAGTTATTTCAAAGAAACAGTGTTTTGTAAAGTTATTCCAAAATTACTCCAAAATCATGATATAAAGCTACAAACAACTCATGTATTACAAATATATGCATAATAGGCTCTATTTGATTACTCTTGGATATATTCACACAATTTATTATTTGCACAAGGAAATATCCAAGTTTACTAACAAGGTGTGCATAGCCCGCAAGTAGATCAGATTATAGTATTACAAATATATGCACAAAAGGCCATATTTGATTTCTCTTGGATATATTCACATGATCAATTATTTGCACAAGGAAATATCCAAGATAGCTAACGAGGTGTGCATAGCCCCCAAGTATAGACTACTTTACCTCCCAGTATTATACTTATACATACCACAGTCAAAAGAGCTTCCAGTGCTTTCAGTGCAGCTATCTTAAGAGAAAGAGGAGATGGCATTTTTCTGTCAAGTGCCCCAGTTTCAACATTAACCCCATTTGGCTGCTCAATTAGTGATCCAGAATCATGTTTCCTTTTTCTGTGGGAAACTGGTATTGGTTTTGATGAAGAGTTACCAGAAGACAATGCCCCAACCTCCTCAGCGTTAGTAAGGTCCATGAAAGCATTGCCGACTACCTCTTGCGCAAGATATAGGGACATACCTGAACAGGAAACAATCCTGTGGATCAGTAGCAAAATTAATGTGATTATAAAGAAGCATGAGCTAGTTTAAAATTAGAGAAGATGAGAAAAATCACCTTCTAGAATACTAGAAACCTCATAATTTGGAGTGTTTGAAAAAAAAAATAGCGAAGAAAGGGCAACAAAAGCTTCAGATAGGTTTATGGATATGGATACGAGCAAGCAGTCTAATGAGAAAATATGTAAACGAGAACTATGATATGCTTTATGGGTCACAATTCAGGTTGCAGTACATTTGAAGCGTTCGATTATATGTTCGTGCACACATACACAAACATTATCAACATTTAACATATTTGAATCACTCACCTGATAATTATTATAAGGATAAAACATCATTAACAGCATATAAAAAAACATGATAACAGCTTTTATCAAATTAAATAATCAAACTCCAAGTCTAAACTTAATGGCAATAGTCTAGCTGTCAGACAGTAAATAACTATAGTAAAGAAAAACAAAAAGCTAAACCAAAGTATAACCAATTGGTCTTCCATCTATCTCATCAGTTTTCAGGTCTCTGGTTGATATGTGTGAGGGTATCACATAGCATGTCCACATTGGTATCCCGTAGGTTTTGAAGTGAATTAGATAATACTGACATAAACAATACCAGATTGAACACAGTTACACAGGGAATAGTCTACATCAGTAATTTAAAATGTAAAAGAAATGTAATGTAATAGATATGACCTCCAGGCAAATTTTGTGCTTTGCTAAATAGTTGCACAAATGTTATAATAAAATCTTTTCTCCCATATCTTCAGAATTTAAAGAATCATGGTTTAAAAAATGCTAGGAGGTTCTAGGCAGTGGACCAACTGCCCCTATCTATCACCTATATCACATGATTTATACACCCTGTTGCGGTCCATGCGGTTTGAAACACCTAGCAGTAAAACGCTTCTTAGGCAGCCACTTATACTGCTTTTACAACAATGAAGAAATAAGATTCTCATCCAAAAGAAGGAAGCGGAAAAAAAAAACACTACATGGTAATACTAAATTAAATATATCATATCTCCAGAAGTTTCCAGTTCTATCAGCTTTAGAAGAATATAATTATGATTATTGTAAATAGTTTCCACTTTTCACCCAAAGTCAGGTGACACATACTTAACCAAATTCTAAGTGTTGAATGCTATTTAACTTAACGGTCCTAATGCAAGCTTTTTAACGTTATTCACTCAAACAAAACTAACCCAGGTATGAATTACAAGTCGCTTTAATTCCATCAATCGATTTACTTGAACTCTAAGGGAACATAACAAAATCAACTACTAGCCAAAAGATTCAGCATGAGGGCATGAATGAGCAAAACAAGTGTTTATGTAAGTAAGGTCAACACTTTGGCCAGAGACTAAGCAGTTCAAACAGAAAGATATGTGAGAACATCAATCAATTCACATGAATACCAGTTGGTTTCCCCCAGTTGAAGCTAAATCACTTATTATATGCTAAATGCTAAATGCTATAACTTAAAACTACAATAAATAAACAACATGTAGCATCTTACACAATTAAAATCAAATCCCTGCCTAGAACTAAATGAAGGGTAAAGATCTTGGTGCATAGAGAGATCTGTGTTCATAATGCTAGGTAAGCGAGATGAGTTACTGACTCTGTTCCAGAAGTAACATCTAGGCTGAGGCAGTTAAAACGCATACACAAAATAGAATTCAATTTACACCAAGAAGCCAAAATGGAAAATTTATGTAACATTTATTATTTAAATGAAGCCTGAATACGAAGAGGTCTGTAGATTACACTAAAAAGAGGTTTGAGTAGAGGTCACCAAAGGGGAGCCGCACATGGAAGTGCAGGTTGAGAATGGAGAAATGACCACTCATAGGAATTGGGGGAAAAAAACATGTCGCATCAACCAAAAAAAATGTCACAAGACTTCTGTTGTGGAAACCTGGAACTACCACTTATAATGCCCTTCAGGTTTTGCTTACATATGGATCTCATAGCGAAGTTAATCTTTTAGTTATAGAGCAATGTCTGGATCAAACATATGTTACATTTTTCGAGATTCTTAAGACTAGTGAATTTCATTTGACTCAAAATCAACTTATTCTCCGGTTAAAGATAACATATCCTCCTATTGAACATCTAATATGAAAGTATGTGGAGATGAAAGTACAATACTAAAATCTATATGCAATAAATAGAACACACACATTGATTGTTGTTTTTTCAGAGAAAAGTTGTGATAGATTGCCAAAATTGTAACAATTATATCTTTATCAAGCATCGAAAGCATCACTTAAGCTACAATAAATCTTCCCCACTTAAGCTGTAAGTATAAAGAATGAACGCAAGCAAAAAAGGATGCAATATCAAGAGAAACTTGGATGAAATAGTGCATACCAACACCAAAAGAAATTAGCAAAGTCTGCATGATAAAATAAACTTTTATCCTTATTGGAGGCAATTTTGCTTTCCTGAAATACTCTGTTAGGAGTCGCACAATATTGGCAGCATGGGGCAAGAGTTGGCTGCAGGCAAAGAATAACATCATCAGCATTACATATGAAACGTTATAACTTCGAAGTAAAAACTGGACTATTAACAAAGACGATGATGAGGAAAAAGTAATGAACTGGACATATTAAGAATTGGGTCTCCAACAAGATCACATGATTTGCGTTAAAACTGTAGTATAAAAAGCTTGCAACAAAGTGTGAAAAAGATAAACCCATAAGCTGCAGAAATGAAGTAAACTCATAGAAGAAAGTATCGCGAGTACAACAAGGGAAACTACGAAGAACACATGCATGCTCAATAATTAACTCCAATAAATCTGATAAGCAGTTCCTAGATAAAACGAGTCTGATCTGCATCCACAGAATGAGTTTCGAATCACGATGACCACTTGACCCAAAAAAAGGACATAATGCTTACCTCCGCACTCCCTTAATGACTGCAACCAAAAGATCCAAGCAGTCCAAGTGCAAGGATGGAAGCTCTGCACACAGAAGTTCTTGATGCATCGCAGTGGTGAAAAGCAATAATGAACCTTGCAAAGAACCATCTAGATGAAGCACTCTCCCTATCAATGCTAGCAAAGTTTGAATCGGAATGGTCACCTTTATTAAACAGCCAAACAATACGTGAAATTAGTTCTCCAAAGATGCCATATTATTGGTCAAGATATAAGACAATGCTTAGTAAATGCATCCTACCAGAACCGGATAGGGATTACTAAGCATCATAGAACAACAGTGCATCAGAGTAGAGACTCGAGGTATGATCATTCCAGGAAGCATTTTTGTTGCCTGTTCAAATGCTTCTGACATCAACTGGCCTCCCAAAGGAGGAGGAGGATCTTTTCCAGGAGGAATTAATAGCCTCATAATCTCAGAACTTTTAGCTTCTGCAAAAATATTCAACGAGCAATCAGTACCCAGAGTTTTGAATCAATAGTTAATATAAACAAAAGTATTTTTAATACCTTCTTCTAGTCCTTGAAAGGCATTATTTAAAAGCGTACTTATTGATATTAGAATCTTCTGCATTAACAAGGACCAGCTATCTTCATCACCTCTTACCCTTGGAAGTAATGATAAACAATAGGCACATTTCTGGGGGAAAAAAGGGAATGAACAAAAAATATCAGAATGGAAAAAATTCAAGATGGAAAGGCACTAAACTAAGAGTTATTTACGACATTCAGAACATAGAAAACTGTGGAAGAGAGGAGAATGATCTGGCAATGGATGTTTCTTTACTCACCTTAGACATATCTGAGTTGCTTCTGGCTAAAATCATCTTAGAAACAAGAACAGTCTCAACCTGGGACATGTTAAGTTACCCAGTCAGCTTTTCTCCCTAATTGTTTGATATATGAAAGTAGATCCAGAACACAGTTACAAGTAATCAGCAATTCTATTGACCTTTCAGTAAGTAGAATATGGTGTTTCAGTCCTTACCATTGTTATATATGGTTGAGGATACTAATATAGTCATTTCAGCAACTTTCTCTTAAGGATCTTCATACATAATCATTGCTTCCACATCTGCCCTACCTTACAACACAGTGATTTTATTTTATTTTATCCCCAAAGTTCTCCAAGCGCCACCTTGTTTTGAATCATTTGCAGGATAGCTTACTCAAGGATCATCATGTTATTATCTTGTTCGACTTCTCTTATTTTACATAGAAAGACTCCAGTTGCAAGATCAATTAGCAGAAAAGAAGCTGGCCCTACATGACTGCATTTGATTGTTTTTGTGTTTATTGGAGTCTTTCTGCATATGCAGTTCATTCAGAAGCGCATATGACATGGAATACATGGAAATTGCAACTTTTATCCTCTTTACGTTCGTATTTTGTGTTGAAGCAATTGCTGTCATAACTTACACCTAAGATAATAAGAGCATATAGTTAAGTAGAGGCATGGTGTGTAAGCTTACATTATCATAGTGACGGTGAACAGAAGATGGAAACAAGGTTATGGCAGTGCACAACAAATCAACTGCTCCTTCCTGTACATATAAACAGTTTAGACCACAGAAAGGTGGGAATGCTGAAAAACCAACATCATACAAAAGAAACTGACCCATACAGCCTTGGCATCATCCTCATTTAATAAATTGATAATAGGCTGAATAAGTTTTCCAACAAGTGATGTTGCATCTTTCTTTATGGTTGGAAAATTGGCCAACCTGCACCCAGGACACAAATTAATGAATTATCATGATTTAAATCTTTTTGGATGTCTATGTTAGAAAAAAAATTCATTGTAATAAGAAAAAGATCAAATGGAAAACCATATACAGAGCCATCTGATGCTAAACCACATGCTGAATTAATGTCCTACATCAGAACAGTTAAGACTCAGCACATTAGCATCACTTTGCAACTTAAAGCTAAGGAAGCATGACCTCAAAGTAGACGCAAGCAATAGGATCCACAAGTCCTACAATGACTTTAAAAGGGATAATGTAACTAGGAAAGATAGAGAAAAAGCAGAAAATGAAAAAAGTTCCTGAAGCATGGCAGATATGGTCTTCATGCAAGCACAAAGTCTTTAAAACAAACAGAAGAAAATGCAGAATAAAAGGGAATCATTTTGAAACAAAAATAAAAAGTATGAAAACCTGATTCCAAAGGTACTGACTGTAAATTGACATAAAAATGATGAATACATTACACATGCATGATATTGACCCACTATAAATGCCACGCGGCCCATGCTCCCATATCATACACAGATTTAAGCCTCAATTTTTATACAAGTTTAGTTGTGGTGTGCAACAAGGTTGCAGCTCCCACACTTTAGCAGGCATACTTCGCTGCCTAATTCTATTGGAACCCAAATTTTTCTTCCAGTAAATTCAGAATTATCTTAACGTATATATATAGAACTACATCTAAATTCATCAGTTAACCCTTCCTCTTAAAAAGTTTGAACATCAACCCATCTTGTTCAATAGTATAGCTATTCAAGTAATGTTCTTTGCTTCAAACTCACTTAAAATGGCAAAAATAATGTATAAGGAAAACTCTGGATTGTTACGCTAAATCCAAACTATGACATACTTGATTAAGGTACACATCCGAGAGTTAATATCTAATTGCAAATTAGTGCATTCTATGCATCAATTTTCAATCGCTCAGTTTGATTTCTCTTGATTACATTATACCTCTGAAAATTACTATATTTTCAGTAATTAATGTATTCTAGGCATTCAATTTCAACCGCAAAATTTTATGTCTTATCTTCCCACTCATAATGAACTCGCTTCTATCTTTGGCCGCAGGTAGTGAATCAGTGATGTACACTTTAATGCATTTTAATTACTTCAGTATCAGTTTATACTAAAACCATCTTGCTATTATTAACTGGTAATTTGAAGTTCAACAAACCTTGTTAGAAGATCCGCCAGGGAAGCACATGAAGCCACTTTGACAAAATTGGCGCTGGAAGTTGGCTGCTAATAAAAAAATAAGATCCAGGGTCAGTATAAAAAGCATGAACAAGTAACTATATGACTAATCGTCTGGAAATTCAAACATAAAGTTATTGATTAGAGAATAAGAAGACATACAAGAACATAAAATATCAATAGCATATCCTTGCTATTCAACATTCTGCAAGAGTCTGTTCGGTGGTACACCAAAGAATCATTATTCTATGAATCACTGAATCTCCTTAAATAGTGCTCCCTCATTTAACTCTCAACATTAAAGGTCCTTATCTTCATCAATGAAATTCTTCTTGTTTTTGCATTTGTTGCTCAAACTACTAGACTACACCAACAATTATAGATATAATAGATAACTTACAATTGATATATAGGGTATATCTCCCTAATTAGAACTGGCAAGTCCTTATGATCCTTGACTTGTAAACAATATGACAAGCATAACTCCTCAAAGACAACATGCATGAAAAGATGGCATATTCTGCTAAATATTAAAACTAAATCAGATGTTGTGAGCATTCTACGCTTTAAGCTTATTATGGAAATTTACTAACACGACATGCAAATATTCATAAACAACAGCATGTATACGCGTGTCCTCGAGTCACAAGTCCTCCAACATATTCTCCAATCTCGCTGGGCGATGGTTAGCTTTGTAAGGCTACATATTTAGCTACAGCCAGCTCTTTTAATATGGATACGAATTACACAATGAACCCTTCATCTGAGAAAATAGGACCCTAATGAATGCTCTAAAGTAATACGAAGACAGAGGTCCAGCTTAGTTGTCATATTCTTTATAAACAAGCGGAACATAGATCAACGTTATTAATCGTCACAAAATTCCAGAAAGGGGTTTGACGATGGGAATTTCAAGGGAGGTCATAGTGAAGCATATCAGAAAATTACATTACAGTACCTTGCTTAAAATACCTGCATATTATTCAGAAGCTTCTGGAACCAAAGCGAATACGATGCTAAGAAGCGATGAGACGTACAGCTTTCGAAAGTCACGCCCAGCAAACAAATACCCGCCCAACACTTATCTGGCTAGACCATGACAAGGAAACGAGACCCATTAACAAAAATAAACTGCAACGGCAGCTAGCAGTGATATTGTGATGCAAACAAGCTAAAGTTAAATTTTTTTTACAAAGAGACACTATTGCGAAGCCAAACATATCGATTTTTCCATCAAAAATAAATTGTTTTCTGATCTATATTTAAAATGCATAAAATAATTACATCTGGTTAGCTATTTTTTTTTTAAAAAATTAAATATTTATGGCTGTACTTCTAAATCAGCTACACAAGAAAGCTAAATCGAAAGAAATCAACTGATTTCTCCAAGATTCTAAAATGCTCCTAAACCAAAGAATCCAGAGTAATTATTCACCATATTGCTGGAAACGAGAGAAAGCAGGCGATCGACCCACTCATCGACGGTCGATCTCCAAGCTTCAGCGATCTTAGGGTTCGGGTCGGGGTTCGGATCTCGCTCCGATAAGAGTCCGTGGGTCTTCACGTGAGAGAGGACGGAGGCGAGCTCCGATGAGCTCGGAAACGGGCGCCTATCATCGGGGAGATGGTCTCGGATGAGAGATTGAAGCATCCGGGGCTTCAATCGAGGGTCGTTCATGCCGCTGAAGTGGTCGGCGATCGACATTAGAGCAGGATAAGAGGGAAGAGCTGGAGTTGAAATTAGGGTTTTTGTTCTGTTCTGTTTTGTTTTGTTTTGTTTTGAGGTGGTCGCCGGTTTTGTAAATCTTAAAACCCTAGCTGAGGGTTTTAGCAGACTAAGGTTCGCTCAGTTTCTAATCACGTTCGACCGAATCGGACCGCTTTAGAACAAAATTCAGTTCGGTTCAGTTTGAAACTCAAGGTGCAAGTCTTGCTTGGTTTTTTTTTTTTTTCAATAAACAAACAAGTTTGCAACAAGAGTCTGATCTTCATGAAATAGACTTATAATGGTGAATATTGCAAAATAATTTCTATTTACTATATTTGTTCCGTAACAAGGTAGCTAGCCATGGTAAGTCGGTAACTAATATCTTGTAAAAAAGTTGCAAAATTTGCTACACAGCTAATTTGCCACAACAACTATTGCAAGTTTGCATTAACTAAAAAACGAACGCATCGTCATCAAATTAGTGAATTCTAACTCAAAAGTGCAAATCCTTTTCCATTTATAGAGACAAACGCTTTGACTGTAATGGATATGTATTTCCTTTAACCAAAAAACGCAAAAAAAAAAAATACAATTCTAATAACTTTTGCAACAACTAAACATTAGATTTGGATTTCAAAATATATTCGCCACAATAAAAATGTAGATATCCAAAGGACAAATTTGAGATTTTTTTTTCATGCAAAGTATGTAGTATGCAATATTTCAAGCATGCAAGGTTTGTTTGCAATTATAATTGTACAGTACCAAACAACCCTTTCATTTTCAAATTCTATATTTGCCATTGTTGTTTTGATCTAGATGCAATTCCTCATATTCAATTTACTTAGTTTCACTTTTAATAATTCAAAAAATAGCATGTTAATGGTTATATAATCCTTCCTGATCACCATAATTTATTAAAGGGAAAATTGCTTGGAGGAACTAAATTTAATTGGGTCATACATCCCCACCCCCCAACTAGAGTTAACCACTTGTAAGCACCTTGACCCAAATTTTTATGCTTTTACACCCCAAACCTAACATTGTATATGTAATTTATAGTGTATTTTTTAGCATTGCTCATTTTACCCTTTGTACTCATTTCCGATTGGGGGTTTATGCTGGAGAGATCTTTTTGTCTTATTGGCCAGCAAAGCAAGCCATCATCAAGTTGGAAGTCACTTCCGATTGGGGGTGTACGGTGGAGAGGTTTTATGGAGGGAAAATGGAAAATTGGAGGGGAAAATCTACTAATTCCCTCCCAAATAATGCATGCATCATATCAATGTAATATATACTCTTCCCTCTTTAGATCTACTCCTAAGACCTTCAATAACCTTCAACAACCATTTATATTCTAAACTTTTTCCTCTTAACTTCTTCAACAACCAAAATGAAATATTATTTATGTGTGTGATTTCATTTAATAGTAATGCAACCTTCATTAAAGTCAATTCGACAACAAGTTTAGCTGAATTGAAGATGCAAGCTGTAGAGAATTTTAGAGTACTATACGAAAGTTTGTTGATAAGTTACTCTATCGAGATATCGAGAAGTTTCCCAATGTCTCGTTTGAGCTTTCAAAAGATGAAGATATTCTCAACATGATAGATTATCATCATTCAATGAGGTTAAATATGGTAACCATGACTGTTACTAAAGGAGATGAAGGACTCACCCATGTCATAGGGACAGAAACAGAGCTTAAGTAAGTATTCAAAAGTATATTTTTCAGGTTCTGGATACACGTGATATATTATGTTACATCCAATGTGACATATTGACTTTATTTGTGACATATTAACTTTATTTGTGATATGTACGTCTTATATGTGACTTTACTGGTAAGTATCACACGTGACTTATATGTGACATTTACATTCAACTTGCAGTGTTCCTAATGTAAGCTCACAGTCATCAGAGCATATCGAGGAACCTTATGAGAGGATCCCAATCGAGGAATCAAAGAGGATCCCAAACGACAACCCTCAAGGAGAGCATGTGTAGATGATGAACGATGTAGTAAGTGATTCGTCACGGATCCCAGCATGGTGGCACGAGGCAATTACTGAAAAAAGGCAGCAATTTGAAAGCACAAAAGAAGTTAGAATGGCTCTTATATACTACTCTATAGCTAAGAAGTTTGCTTTTAAATATGTTAACAGTGAGCCAAAACGTATTCGTGCTATTTGCATGTTCAGAAAAGAAACAAAATGCACGTGGTTGCTTTTCGCTTCACCATTGAGCCATGTGTCGACCCTTGCTATAAAAAAATTGTTCTTCAACATGCATGTGGACAACATAACAGCACAACTGGTCACTTCAGAGCATCAAGAAAGTGGATTGCTAGTATGATATAATCAATTATGAAGAGGCGTCCATATATTACCCCAACTGACATTAGAAATGAATTGCACTGTCAATATGGATTAAGAGTTAATTATTCTAAAGCTTGGCATGCTAAGGAGACAGCAAAAGACTAAATATTTGGTTGCGCAATGCATTCATATGATTTACTATACTGGTTAGTCCAAGCGAACTGTTGATGTCTCTTTTAGAACGTATATGTTTCACAGTTAACCGTAAATGTGTCATGTCAAAATGCTATGTGACAAATATGCGTCTAATGTGATATTTCAACGTTATATGTGACAACTAATTCCTACATGTGACATTTAGATATGTGATATTTTGACCTTGTTTGTGACGTTTGAGTGTTACATGTGATAGTTAGATCTTGTTCATCATTTAACAAGTTATTTGTGATTTACCCATCATTTTTAGGTATCAAATGAAGGTGATGGAAACAAACCCAGATAGTGTCTTCACCATTGAACAAGAAGATGGGAGATTCAAACGTTTATTTGTGTCGTATGGTGCATGCATACAGGGGTTTCTCAAGGGATGTAGGTCATTGCTCTTTGTAGATGAGACTTTTCTGAAGGATCGCTACAAAGGGATCTTATTAGGTGTGACTGCTTATGATGGTAATCAAGGCATATTTCCACTCGCATTTTGCATTTGTGACCAAGAAAATGAAGCAAATTAGAGTTGGTTTATTCAAGGATTGCGGTATATTTTGTACAATCGAACAGAACCATACAATCCACCCCGAGTTGGTTTATTCAAGGATTGCGGTATATTTTGTACAATCGAACAGAACCATACAATCCACCCCATCCTCTAGTAATTTTGTCAGATGTCGACAAAGGAATAAAACAATCTTTAAAAGATATATTTCCAGATGCGTACCACTCTAGATGTGTACTTCATCTTGTTGAGAATTATAAATTGAAGCTTAGAGAGATGAGTTTTGCCTCAAGTGCTGCTCAACGTATTTCAAAATTGTTGGAGTTTACTGCATATAAGTACACGGAAAGAGAATTTAAAGCTGTTTTACATCAGATTAGGATGACAGATCAAAGAGCATACCAAGTAGCTCTAAGTTATGGTCCAAGTAATTGGACAAATTCTGTATTTCCTGGTATAATGTACGTTAAATATCATTACCTTTACTTGTGATATCATGCTTTTATATGAATTTGAGCCTTTAAATGTCACATTTTGCTTTTATATGCGACGTTCGTCTGTTATGTGTGGCCTTTATTTGTCTCGTGTGGCACTACGCCATTACATGTGACACTTAGCGGTGTGCTGTGATCATTTGCTATTGGGTGTGGCATTTGTTATTTATATGTGACACATGGCTATAATTTATGATAGTAAATTTTTGTTTGATTCACAGATATGGTCATATCACTTCCAATATTGCTGAATCTTTCAACAGTTGGATTCATGTGGTGAGAACACATCCCATTTGTGATATGATGGATCACATTCGTGTGCAAATTATGGAAAGGATGAATACTCGTTGTGAGATAGCAACAAAATAGAATAGCTATCTATGTCCTGAAGTGGAAAAAATCCTCCAAGAAAATGTCACCAAGGGAAGCACTCTTGAAGTATTGCATTCTACAGCTGAAATCTTAGAAGTGTCATCACAAAAATCAGTACAACTTGATTTGGAACACAAAACATGCACGTGTCGTGCATGAGATATACTGCGAATACCATGTAAACATACGTGTGTTGCTATTAACTTTATTCATAGAGATGTGTACCGGTTTTGCGATTGGTTCATGACAACTGAACCTTTCAAGAAAAGTTACGAACCAATTCTCTTTCCTGTTCTAAATTACGATAAGCCAGATGTTACAGATGAAACAGTTAGTATTCTTCCCCCAAAGATGACAAAGAGACATGGAAGGAACAAGAATAGACGTATCAATAACAGATCTGAGAATAGACGTGCAATTAGATGCTCAAGATGTCACGCTGAAGGACATAACCGAGCCACATATACTGAACCTATCCAAGATTAACGTTTCCTGGCAGAATACAAACTCTTTTATGACCGTTGTCTATTACATGTTACTTTTTTCATTTTGTTGTGACATTTACTACTTATATGTGACGTATTACATGTTCGTGTTACTGTTACCATTTTGTTATGATATTTACTACTTATGTGTGACGTATCACCTGTTCGTGTGATGTATTACCTGTTCAGATTTAATATGTTAAAGAAAAGATCACCAAGAAATTCAAAAAAGCTAGTAATCTGGTTATCAATTACAAACAACGTTTAAACATCCATCACATAACATCCAACAAATGAAACAATTACATGTACAGAGTCTAATACTTCCACTCAATCATGGGTACATCACTACCCCCAAAGTACAAAAGATATTCTGGATCATCACTGTCTAATTTCAACCATAGCTTTTTCTATTCACGACCTTCACATATGATTTGAGCAGCAAGTCCTGCCCGTAGCATATGCGACTCCCTGTGCAAGGCTTCAATATTCATTACCTCCCTTCCCTCAAGGATCGCCTTGATAAAAAAATGTATATATGCCACAGTCATATCTGTAAAAATATAACATAACACTTAATAGCAGGATACATAACTAGTAACGAGAATATAACACAGAGAATGTACAAATATCACATAACAGTATCATACGTCACACAGAAATAACAAAATGTCACATAAATGCAGTATAAATCACACAATATACTAAATTGTCCCATA